CGTGAGCAGCGTGCCATAGCAACTTTGGTAAACAATTCTTTGGCTAAAGAAGGATTAGTTCACAGTTTAAATGAACCATTTGTGCCAAATAAAACCAGAGATATCATTTTTTCAAAGAGGATCTTCAGAACGGTTCAGACAAACATTTTGCAAATGACTTGCCAACGCGTGCCAAAACACAGAACTTTTCCTTGAAGAAAAAATAACTAAATGTGAGTGGCGCACTTTGATAAACAATTTTACCCTTTGAATGAATGATCTGTGTCAAATATAACCGGAGATTTCATTTTTTCGACTAGGATCTTCAGAACGCTTAATTCAGACAAATAAACATTTTGCAAACGACTTGCTGACATGTGCCGAAACACAGATGTTTACTTGTAAAAACATAAAGTTCACGTGTTAAAATGGGGAATTCAAGCGACTGTTTCAATTTTCTTCCCATTTTTGGTAGCTAAAGATCAAGCAAGTGTTAATAAACGGTAGTTCATCGGTGAATCTGCGAAGTGATCGAAAACTCGAAATATGATAGCTTTCATTGATTGGCATGATCTTTTAACAATATGCAAATTTCATTTTGAAGCATTTTCATTCCCAGAAATATAATGTCCTTTGTTTGACTAACAATGCTTCACATAAAGAAACCTATGGGAATGCATAACAAAGAGACATATATGTGCGTATACACGCACATGTGCGCATATATACGCACATATGTGCGCATATATACGCACATATGTGCGCATATTGACATACGCGTATACACAAAATATGCTCGTATAATATCCGTATGCGTAGTTCGCATATATCTGAGCTGCACTGTAAATGGTGAACAGTTCCATTGATGCGGCAAAAAAAAAGTTTCATCCAACCGCATTGCTTGAAAGGGCTATGCAGGCTACTTTTAATAATATTGTTTTATTCGAAACCGCAGAACATATTTTTGCAAATGAATGACTTAAAGTGCATATGACATGAAAAGTAATTTTTGCTTATTTGACAGGCCTTTCAAAATACAGAAGAATGGCGTTTTTCTTTTTGCAATATCTAAGGGTGTCATTTTGTTTCTTTTGTGATGTACATTTGTGGTGCCAAGTTTCAAGAACACTGCTTCGATATTTCTAGAGATATTGTTTATTCAGTATTTTACCATTTTTAGTTGCAAACAATATGACGTCATCACTGTTGGCCTTCAAGATCCTTTCAAAATGGCGGTTCCCAGTGTCAAACTCTTCATTTCTTTTTCATTGGGATCGCATCCACTTCAGAAGCTAAAACAACGGTGAGTAACTCAACTCAATGTGAACTTTTTATTGGTGATGGAAAAAAAATACACGGTTTTTGGAGTGACCTTCTCCTTTAAAGCAACATTGTGTAAATTAAAACAAACATAGTGTCAAGTTTTTTGAACAACTGTGCTAGTGAGTTGAGATTTTTATCGTATGCCAAAGCTAAAAGAATTTGTCCACTACAAAACCAAAACATCATTTCGCTTGGCATTTTTAAAACCAAATATCGAATACTCTCAGGAGGGTTCAAGTGTAATTTGTTTGGACTTAAGTCTATGAGAGTTGGCTCTGGAGTCAGAGTATGGCAAGTGTCGAAACATAAAAATTTTATAGTAGGCCCAAGCTCGAAAATTTCCTCAGTTACAAAGCCAAAATAATTCTGGAAATTGCTTGACATTTCTAAACAAATCCACTATTCTCGCTGCATAATTAATTAGCTCATTGCAAAGCATGCTGCTATTCCATCACATTCCCCCGTTTTCGCCTGTGCTGGTAGCGTCGGTGATGCTTTGTGCCATTTGAAGTTTGAATTTGGTCTCCCCACTGGAAGCGTGGTCTTTTCGTCCTGTACTCCACAGATGGTCGTCTTTTCATGAATGATATGTTTTGGCTTAAATCAATTCTGTGCAGCATGTATTCACTTCATGAATACTATTTACTAGCCACGTAGAATTTAAAAGTTGAAGANGATGCTGTTATTACGTCACATTCTCCCCTTATCGCCCGTGCTGGTAGCGTCGGTAATGCTTTGCGCCATGTGGAGTTTAAATTTGGTCGTTCCGCTTGAAGCGTGGTCTTTTCGTCCTGGACTCCACAAAGACAGTCGTCTTTTGCGCCCCCCCCACCTCCCCTTGTGGCGGTTGACAAAGCTTGTTGCATGCGTATTGCCTCATCAGTCGTGGACTCTTCTCATAACTTGATCTTATGCGATGAGGTAATGGGTATGCAGTGAGGATTTGTTACTATTCTAAGAAGAACTGGATTAATTTTTGTGTTGAAATTCTATAATAATTTCAGACTGCTGGGTATCTAGGTTTTTGAAAACGCTTCCCGGCTGCCAGATGTCTAGACATGATAATGATCCTGAGAAATAAAAAATTCCCGGTGTTGTCTGTTGTCTCTTTCACAGCCACATTTGAAACCCCTGTTATCTGTATATGCTGATTTTTCGAAATGCAAATCATTTTATTCGTAAGTTGGATGAATCAAAACAGACAAAACAAAATGGTATGTATGTAACTGCTGCCATATTCAGCCAGTACAAAAGAATTAAAAACTTGTCTGCTCCTTGAAAACACCTCATATTCATACCAAATGTAATCTTCAGAAAAGACAGTTAACTTCCACACAGAAACAGAAGAAGCAAACAATAACCAAGTTCATACATACTAATGCATTCACTTTAAGTGCTATAACACAAAGTCCAAACGCAGTCTAACGCAGCAAAACATGCATGCGTATTTACCCTTTGCGTTAAGGATGCACTTAGGTCTGAGCAGTACTGTAGAGGAAAAGGGTCTCGAGCTGCTACCATTTTGGTCACCATGGCAGGTGAATAAACCATTTGGTGACTAAATTTTATGAACAGGTCACAATTTGGCAACTAATGCAGTACAAAAGGCTGACTGCTCAACAACAATTTTTTTTTGTGGGATAATCACTAAGCCAAATGAATTAACCACAATTTCATGAATGATATGTTTTGGCTTAAAACAATTCTGTGCAGCATGTATTCACTTCATGAATACTATTTACTAGCCACGTAGAATTTAAAAGTGTAAGAGTAATCTCTAATGAAGGCAGTATACAGTAGAGTTCCGTAAGTGCTCAAAAGCGAAGGATCATCAAACTAAAGTTTAGTAGCTGTGACGAGCTTTGTACCCTAACAATGCTGCCAGTAAGGCTTTTTCATGCCCCTTGGTTGTCATTCAAACAGGGAGAATCTATTTAACAATCAGATAGCAGTAAGCCATTGACAAGAGTAAGCCAGTCAAGCAGCAATCAGCTCTGGGTTAAACTACTATGTATTTCTGGCCTGAGGCACCCAGCTAAGGCTGCAGGGTCCGAAATTGCGCTTTCCTGGTCGCCAAAGCAACTTAAAATTTTGCACTGGCGACCAGAATTTCACAACTGGTCGCTATTGGGCAATTAACTATTTTATGCCATGATAATTACACAAACAATAACTTTGACTTTCAGCCAAATTGATTAAAATAAAATTCAAAGCCGCCCACCAATTGGTCACTTCCTTTTTACCTTTCCACTGCTTTTGAAGTATAAAACCGATTTTCCTGTTATTATAAATCTACCACAATGTTTTACAGCTACRATCAGTGCGAAGCTTGGCTGCCATGTTGTTTTAGGGGTTTCCCATAACATATTGTGGGCGCTAGAGGCCCCATGCGTTCTTTGGCCATGAATATTTCTTCAGGCGATGTGGTGTCCAAAGATGTTCTGAAATCTTTCTGTAATTTATTACAAAGTGGAGACGGAACATTCGTGAAGAAATTAGATGAAGATTTAGATATGCTCTGGGCGTCAAAAAGTGGAAATGTAGATCTGTCAAAGTGGTCAAAAATGATTTCAGCACTGGTTTGATTCCAGCTGATTACATTGATTGCAAATATTTTGCCGGCAGGTCTGTGGCAACCCAAAATTTTGGTTTGTGTTTCGCTGTGAAGGAAAAATTTTATTGACACATTTTAGCGACCACATTTTTCCGTATGGCGACTGAAAAAAATTTCAGTCGCCAATTGGCACCTGCTGAGAAAAGTTAATTTCAGACCCTGGGCTGCATCATGTAATGATTCCACTTTTGCACAAAAGAAAAGATGATGCATTCCCGTTAGTGTTGTTTGGTACATGAACGTTTTAGATCATGCAACCAGAATATATTACAAGAGATTACAGGAAACATATCCATAATTAAAAACTATTGACAGAAATTAAACTGAACTGTACTGAACTGAACTAAATTAAAATTGACCATCACATATCTAAATCTGTTCAAAATTGTCAATTTCTGAATGCTGGGCAGCGCCTTTAACAAACCTTGTTAAAATGTTTAGCATTACTGTGACGAGCTACCATGTGTACAAGTTTTTTATGCTCTGTCAACAATCAACATCTGTCTTTTGCACGCAGTCAAGTTTTCCCATTTCATTCATATGTTTGATCAAAAGGAAACTAAATTATCAGGAAAGCTGAATTGTGTTTTTGACACAAAAAAGCAAAGGCAAATTACCCAATTGCTTGCCCTTAACTGGCAAAACACCTGAAATACAAGTAAGAACCACTGTGTTGAAAAACTCGTTAATCATAGTTGGGTCACAAACCAAAGGTGGTGCACCCAATTGCTTGTTCTTTAGGCAACACTCCCAAGAGAACATGTAAGCCGACTGTACACTGTATCTTTTCTTTTAAAAGGTAAATAACCAGGTTATAATATTGTTATATTCATAGTGATGAACATTCAACTGTTGGCCAACTCAGTTAAAAATTTATCTTGCATTTATTATTTACTTGGTGTTTCCTCAAAAAAGTGCACTGTAGCTCTTTATAAATAATGTAATCTGTCTGTTTTCAAGGTTTAAGAGGATGCAACCAGGAAAGGTCATTGAAAATGTGTGAAACTCATTTTAAGTAGTTTTACACAAATCCTTTTCATCAATTTTTAACACACAGATTTTTCAAATCAATTTAACTTTGTAGGTGTCTGATTGGACTGGAGGTACATACCAAGATCGCAGATACATGAGTAAGTACACTGTATTACACCTATAGCCAAGGCCAGCTGCACTTTGTTTTTTCCTCGACTTTCAATAATTCAGTCTCCATGAAGGTTGCTGCTGCTGCTGTTATAATTATATCAGTTGCATTCATAACCCACAAAAGATTTGTAGATGTGTATGTACACAAGCACACATAAGAGTTCAAAAATAATGTTTAAGTGCCTAAGAAGTAAAAAATAATAATAATAATTATTGCTGCTTATTTGAAAGACTTTTCAAAATAAAGAAGAGTGGTGTTTTCCTTTTTGGAATATCTTCTTTTGTTTTAGAGATATTTTATGTTTTTTTATTATGCAAATGAGGAAAGTGATTCAGGCCTGAATGGGATTTGTTGGCTTGATAGCTCAGTTGGTAGAACACTGCACTGGTATTGCAGAGGTCATGGGTTCCAATCCCATTCAGGCCTGAATTATTTTCAGGCTTAATTTCACAACTACGATAATCAGTCATGTCTTCATTGTTAAATATTGTATGTACTGATTGAAGATTCAGCTGTTTTTAAAACCATACCTTACCTCTGCTGCTAATGTTCTTGGTGAAACATGGTCATCAAGCAGTGATGCTAGGAAACTAAATTTTTTAT